TACATACATACATATATATATATATATATATATATATGTATATATAATATTGTTTATGAAAAAGAAAGAACAATGTTTTTCTAGGCCTTATATGCATCTGAAACTTTTTGCAGCAGTTCTTTTCAATGTTAGATTATTTACTTATAAAATGGTTTTTAAGTTATTTTAAAGATTTAAATATATTTATATACATGTGTGTGTTTTTCCAGAGTAATCGTGAAATAGGCAAATTTATTCCTTATGTACGTTGTATTTTAAATTAGAAAGTTTTGACACTTGAAAAGTCTTAGTAGTGAGTTTCGAATTTTGTGAATTCAATGTAATACAGAAGCGTTCGTAAAATACTCGTGTATTCCAATTTATTTTTGTACTCTTAGGACACTTTTTCGCATTATAAAAAATAAACATAACCATAGTCAACAATTATGCTTTTGCCCAAACTCATTTACCTATTATCATATAATGACTGTTTTAAATATAAGAATGTTTTTAATTGTTGTCTACAGTTTTAATAGACTCTGAATCTATATACATTTGCACCAGTTTAACAGTTTGCACCAGTTTTTGCACCATTTTGCTTCAAATAAACCATAAATTTATCATAAAAAATGGCAATGAAACTAATCAAAACAGTTAACTGCTTATAATTTATTAATCTGTAAACGAAAAAAAAAGCTTATATTCTTTTTCTTAAAAATTTCATTAAGAGATAGTAATAACATTAAGTTTGCAACTTGTGGTTTAAAAATTTAAAAATTTATTTAAATTTCTTATATGTGTCTCGCGTCCCATACGTGCAATAAAAAGTATAGAATTATTTATTTTTGAAATCATTGAAACTTATGATATTGAAATATATATGACTATTATTTTTGAGGTGTTAAAGCTTTTCAAACTGTTTTTAATCTTCATCCTAAACCAAAACATACCCTTATTTCTTTAATAAGTACAGAATTATATTTTTTTGACTAACTAATAGGAGAGCATCTGTAAAACAAAATTTTCCACTTCACATAACATAGTACTGTCAAACGTAGTACTATAACGTAGTATAATCAAATAGTTCTCGTTAGGTACGCAGCTGCTGTAAGAAAATTTTGTTTTTCAAAACTAGTACATGGATGCCACATACTCGGGACGAGAATGTGTAATGATTCAAAAAAAGAATATTTTATCAGCTTTAAGGAAAAAATGATTAGTCAATCAATTTGCTAAAATAATTTATTAATGCGAAGGAAAATGTGTTATAAGATCTAGCAATGTTTTAAATGCATAGTTTATAGTGTAACTTTAAATTTAATATTTCTTAGTGAAATTATGTTTTGCTTATAAGCTTTGCCTATTTAAAAGTTTGGAGTTATAGATAAACTTTTCCCATTTTGGCTAAGTTTTTTATTATTTTAAGACTATTTTATAACTCGTTATTGATTTAAAAGAATGTAAACTGAATTTTGTACATTAAGAGCTCTTTTAAAATTAAAAAATAGAATAATAAAAAATAACATTGCTTAAACAAGAAATCATTTGAAAAATATTCAAAAATAATTAAAAATGAATGAAAATAATTTATTATTACGAATTGGAATCATTTTTCAACAATATAAACATTATTAAAGAGAAGTATAAGCTACTATTTTTTTAATCATGAATCATTTAAAATAGAAATAGTAAAAAAACAATAATAAAATGCTGAAGATGCAATAAAATGGTATAAAAATATATAAATGGAAATAATAATATGGGAAAGGGGCATTAATAGGAATAATTACTCCGTGGAAAAAATTTCTAATTTAATTCGAAACAGCAAAACATATTTTCCTTCAAAGCATAAAAATCAAAAAACATAAAACAACTTTTTTTAAACCTATCCGGCCATAGAACAGAGAACCAATAAATTTTTTAATAACTTGAAAATATACGTAAGAGTGTAAAGATAAACTAGTCGAGTAATATATGAGAATGTTAAAATTTAGTTGCGTTTAATATTCTTAGAGCATTCTTCAAAAGTGGAAAAAATTATTTAAGAACATGCCAAAAAATATATATACATAAAACAATTAGAATCATAATGATTAGATGAATATATATTAGAGAAAAAATTATGATCAAAAATTCTAATACAGCATCAATTTTAAATTAAATTTAGCGTAAAATAGTATAAATTTGCACGGTTTTCAAAAATGTTTCTGAGAATAAAAATATGTAAACCAAATCAGAAGTTTGTCCGTGATAAAAATAAATAACACAAATTAGAGTACAGATGTCTTATAGGAATCTGATGTGAGTGGAAAAAGTTTTGGAGTTGTTTGCTTCTGAAGAAGTTTGTCAAAACAAACGTTAAAAAAAGTCACACCGCAATTTTAACACGCTAGCACCTTCCCCATAACAAAATATTAAAAACTTTTTGCATATAAGTTATCAGATAGTTATGAGAACAGGTTTTGGATAAAGAAATAAATCTTAATTTTTGCTTTTACCGAGAAAGCTTCAAAAATGCATAATGAATGATTTGCTCTTTGTTTCGTAACAAAGTGTAGTTTAGTGGGTAGTAAACATAATTTTTTTAAATAAATATTTAAGAACAGCATTGTTTATCGTTTTCCAGGAAATTATTGACGGTTACACTTAAATTCCATACACAACTATTTAATAAATTTAAAGTATATATTCCACACGTGGAAAATATTGTTTACTTTAATTTCAGTTTTAAGATTGCTTTAACTGTAGTTGTAGCCAATTTTTAAACTACAGCAAACCTATGGAATAAAACAGTTTTATTTGAAATAAAGGAACAATTGAATGAATAATTGGATTCTAAGACATTGATGATCTGTCTACTTTTAGCAGCTGTATGACTGATTAGCGCCAAAATCGATTGTAAAGAGAAACTAGTGTCTGTGTTATGAATGCGTGGTTCCCAGGACAACGATAAAATTTAGTTTTCATTCACATTCCCCACCAAACTATATAAAAGTAAACTTTTCAACAAAAAAATCAAGCGCAATTTAGTTTAAAAATCTAACGAGCGCGAAAAATCGGAAGACTCGCCAATTAATTCTATGGCATGCAATTTGAGCTTTTTTTTCTTTACCTGGCTGTTGGACTCCACTATTGAAACTTAAGCTGGCACAAGCGCGTGTTCGCGCTACTGTTGCTACAGTGTCTCTCAGCCCTGGATGTGGTGGGCGAGCTAGGGCGGTAAAAGCACGCAGGTGCTTGTTCTTTGTTATCATTGGCCGGCCGGGGGAAAGCATATGTGACGTCACATTACTCCTTGTTTTTCTTCCGCCACCCCTTGGTTGACGATCTTTTTAAAATGTGTCTTCCCGGAAAAATTCTTCTGAGTGAATCCTGGATCATGCTTAAATAATCACCTAAAAATTAAACCGAAGAAATCAAAACTATTTTATTACGTGAAAAAATAAAATTCATTTGCTCCGAAAAATATTTCTGACCGATATTATTTCTCCTTCCAAGAGAGCTATTTTTTCACTGAATCTTGAAAAGAATTTTTCCTACAAAGCATATTTATCCTATCAAAAGTTGACTTAGTTGTTTTTAAATGTTCAAAATAATAAAATTTACTTCATTCATAATTTATAGAAATAACGCTTTTTTTTATTTGTAAAACTAAATATTTTCTATAAAAATTACAACTTGAAAACAAATGTAAAGGTTATTGAAATAACAACTTTTTGCCCTCATTACTTTAATTTATTAAACACAATTTAATTGTGTGTTTTGATTTTTCTTTCACCGATAAAATATAACAACAAAAAAGACTTCATCAACAATAAAATATCAGACACGTTAACAGCTTTAGTAATGAGGAGGATATAATTTTACACTCATACAATTAACAGTTTAAATTAATCGATTTATGCCGAAACAGCACGGAGCATTTCTAGCGTGACAAGATCGTATTAGTTTTCCAATAAAACACCACAACCTCTATCACAATTTACGAAGGAATTCTTTTCTGTTCATTCGGAATATTTATGTTTCCCAAATGCTTATTTTTTTCAGTTTGGGTGGGAAAAAAATGCAATCAATATCTATTTCCACAGTTATGTATGCTATTTACCTAAAGCAATGTCTAGATTTATTTCATTTTGTCTATATAGGAATATTAAATTAATGATTTAAAGAGTTTCGATGCAATCTGTTTACAACACAAAAAAATGTTTTCTAACATTTCTTGTAATATTAATTAGTAATTATTGCGTGGCAAAATTTTAAGCTATATATATATA